TCTCCATGCATATAATGAAACTGCATTCATTTAGTTTTCTATTCACAAATGTATGTTTCTCCACTCATTGGCTGATATCGTGAATATGTCCAACTACACGAAGCACTATTAAGAAGGCAAACATTTCAGTCAAAGCCTTGGCCTCTGTTGCTTCCATTGACTGTAAATATCAATGGACGATGCCTGAGTAAAGTCGCCGTCGACAGCGGGGCTAAGGAAGTCCGTTGATGGCAGTCGCCATTCTGGAAATTCTGTCCCACCCTAACTTTCAGTCATCTTCATGACAGGCTGAGAGCTGGAGCTGAGGCGGGTTTTAAACCTCCTGACAAACCGTTACACCGCGCCCACCTGTCAATCAGGTCAGCTACACGCCTTATTGTGAATAACTCTTATCCTTCATCAAATCAAAACTGATGAGTCATCAAAACATTCACCCCCCGTACAGTGTGTGTCCATCCAGACATGAGCTAATCACACCTATTTGGTTTTTTGAACCAGGCTGTAAACATGTTAATTCCTGGCTTTTTAATATGGGTGTGTGACTTCCTGTGGTCCAGCAATCAGCCTCTAGTGGACACTCGAAAAACTGCGGGATTTTACACTTCATGCATTGGCTTCATTTTAAGCGCTTTGTTTTTTAATACATCATTTCCGCATTGTTCTTTTTACACCACTTCCCCCCCGACTCTGTACTCTCTCAGGTATCATTTTAGTAATCTGCATCTGCTGGATTTAATCCCCATGCTGCAGGCGTCCCTCCCATTCATTTTTATGGCTAAAACAAAACAGTCCTCGAGGGGCCTGCAGCTCAGAGCCACAGCTACGTAAAGGTCTACTGTCTCTGCTGCACACTCGCCCCATTATACACACAAGGTGAAAAAGCAGCACTGCCTTTAATAAGATGTGATTTTTATTAGCTAACAAGCTCGACACAGCAGAGGAGTCTGTTTGCTTATTAAATTATTCAGTGTTATTGTATCGGCTGTCCACAGGGAACGTCCCAGCCAGGAAGACGAGTGGCACGCTTCAATGCTTCAGAGACCGTCCGGGCGCACACATTAACATAATTATCCTCCATTAGACTTGTATTTAACAGCACAAGTCAATAATTACCCAAACACGAGGTATTTTGTCTTTTTTTCCCCTGCGTTTGAATCCTAAATTGTATGCATGTGTACATAATGTGTTCGTAATGCTCGCAGGATAACACAGACATAAATCTGATCAAAACACCCCATCCATCATCACAACAGTGTGTTTTAAACACCTCAGCCAGGGACTGAGCACAGAATGTATTTACTCAGAAGAGGACAAACCCCCTCTGCATTCACCTGGACTCATTAATACACAAACAGAATGCAAACTCTAAATATCAGAAAAACATGCAAACAGTGTCAGAGTCAGACTTATGAAGTCATTTATGTATTTAGCTTTGTAGTACATTTTGTTTCATTTGATTTTTTTACAACAAAATAAAGCAGTTTATTCTGATTTACTGATGCAATTATCTACAGCTTACATGAGGATTTGAGGCCCGATTCTAACCCGGTAAACACTTGGGGCGGGGGGCGTGGCCTGATCAAGGCTTATCACAACCGATTATTTATCTTGAAGAATCAGGGTTTGGGGATAAATTATTTGACTTATTTGAATTATTAGAGGGGAGAGGTGGGTAGTTTGAACTTAAAGGACTAGCAGTTATCATGTATCATCACTACTTGTATCATTGAGTAATGACTTCATAAGAAAGTCAAACTCCCCCTGCAGGGTTGGTTGTTCTCAGCTCTGTTCACACTGACTGAGGCTCAAACATCTTTCATATAGATTTTGTCTTCACATGAACCCCTCTCTCTCGACCATTAGCCCTGCAAGGTCATGGAGGAAGAGAGACAGCCCCGCAAACTCAGAGACGGTGGATGTACAGTAAAGCCTATAAGCCCATAACCGAAGGAGATAGACAGACTTTACAAACCAGAGAAAAGATTTTATGTGGTCTAAAATACTTAAAATATATATAAGGACAGAATCAACTTTTGGCTACATATCTGAATGGAGATCAGTCGGCTGTAGATGGTGCGAAAATTAGAGAATGGTGCATCTACTGGATCCGATTTGACACCTTTAAAGGAAGAATGTGCCACTTTATGATAGATGTCGCCCTTGAGCACCAGCATGAAACCAAAACAAACTGCTGTTTGGTCACACCTCCTCCATACTGAAGCCTCCGCCCTCCTCCAACCTCCAACCTCCAACCCCCCTCCACTCGCGTTTGCATGAAGGAGTTTATTGCAAGAAGCGGACAAAATTGTCCAATTGCCTTTGTCCTGCATTGTTGTGTTAGCATGCTAATGTTAGTGCTCTTCAGTTAGCTCGTAGCTTCACATTGCATGTAAATTGACACAGAATGACTATGATCTAAAAACTCTTGCGTGACATCCAAATAATCAGTGAGTATGTTCTTCTTCTCTCTAGTCCTTGACTAAAAAAAACACATTAACAGAAGATATACTTGATGTTATGCTTAATTTATGTGTAAATAGTTGCACATTCTTCCTTTAAATTCCTTTAAATACCAAAGATCATGAACTATTGAAATGGTGTGAAAACAATAAAAAGCAAGACATCCTCAGAAGTGACCCTTATTGCAAAAAGATCTGTCACCAGCACTGATGTTCTTCCTGTCTTGTACAAAACAAATCAATGCGGAATGAATCTTAACAAATCAACCTGAGGCTGTAAACTAATGGCTGCAGAGGGAGCTCAGGTAGGATGATTAACAAGCAAATATGTTGCTGCTTACACCAACTGTTGTTTTCATTAACTTGTGAAGTGAAATGATAAAGAGGCTGTTCAACTATCACCAGGGATTTCTAATGAATCATGTGAATATGTTTCAGTGTTGCGAAACACATCAGAGCTCATTGCACAGATGGAAGAAAACAAGGTGTGAACAAAAATCTTGAATAGCCCGGACTAATTGCAAAGCAAAAAAAAGTGTCGGACAGCAAAGAGATGAGCAGCAGCCTTATACTGCAGGGATGTTTCACACTATTCTGGATTTACACACCACCCTGGACCATCCACCAAGCAGGGGAATAAATGTCACTGCGTCACAGTTCCAGGCTAAAGGAGAAGGCACAGAACTATTTCAATATGGTCACACTGACACCTTATAGCGAAAAAACGTCCTGAGCTTTAACATGAGCCAGGTGTCTGAGAGTTTTTCAGTCCAAAGACTTACAGGTTAGGTCAAGAGAAAAGTGCCTGAAGGTGTTTCTGTGTGAGCAGTGACAAAATGTACCTTTCAGCTCTTCCTGTCCCTGAATAGGACAAATGAGTACAGGACACGGATACATAATTTTTAGACTGTGTAAAGTTAGAAGTATATGACAACTTACTCATATAGGTACAAAATATTCTTAAAGCTAATTGTCTGATTGCAAAGTAGGCAAATCAGCTGTTTCAGGAGGATGCTGTTTGTTTTTGGTACTTTAGTTATTTACAGCTTTGTTGGGGAGTTGGCATCAATTCATTATGAAACAACGCTGACATATTTTACCCCTAGACTGTAAATATTAATGTTTGAAGCCTGAGTGACGTCAGCCATCTGTTCCTGCAGGGGGCGCTGGAGTCCCATCAGCAGCAGCCGCCATGCTGGAAATCCTGTCTCAGCCTAACTTTCAGTCAACCTAACGACAGGCTGAGAGCTGGAGCTGAGGCGGGTTTTAAGCCCCTTGATAAACTGTCAATCGCGCCCACCTGTCAATCATGTCAGCTACACTCCTAACTATGAATAACATGTATCATCCATAAGATCAAAAAGGGAGCCGTTTTAAAAAATCCACCCCGTAAAGTGTGTGCCCATTTTCTGGCTGTGGTGTATATATGACTTCTGGTGTTCCTGGAGCCAGCATCAAGCGGACACTCGACAAACTGCAGGATTTTATTGACTTAATTTTTCAAGACCGGAGGTTAGACCTTGGTTTTACCTTATTATCTCACTTTAGATGTCTTGTGGATTGAAAAAGAAAGGAAAGAACAATGACAAGTAGTAGAGTCAGGTGCATCTATGTTACTCCAATAGAGGAAAACAGTTAGTACCTTGAGCTCCCCAAAATCTGGTTGGTTAACATATTTGATCTGATGAAGACATAATTACCAATCGGCTTATTACCTCAGGTAAGTATGAATGCCTTTATCTAATAATATTCCAAAACTAAATATCTGTTGAAAATAAAACTGAATGGCCAAAACACAAGGTGTCACATTTATAAAGCAGTGCATAGAATCCATACTCAAACTGTACATAACCAAAAAAGCAAACATTGGTGTGCGCCAAACATAATTCTGATTTATAAAACCGCCTGATTTATGATCCGCCTGGTAATGTGGGCACGTTTATCAGCTTTATATTCCACTCTTTACACACCCACATTCAACCAGATACTGTCAATGCGAAACACCATGTGAATGAAAATGCATATCAATCTTTGATCAGTGAATCATCATTGAGTCCAAGTGGACATCTTGGCCTGTTTCAAAGCCATCCATTCCAGACATCCCTCAGAAACTACTTTCACGGTACATGGTCAAAGTTTTTACCTTTTGGGGGTGTAGTGACCTTTACCTTTTGACTTTAAAAAACAAAATCTATCCATTTCATCCCTAAGTCCATGTGTGAGTTTTTGCCAAATTTGAGCAAATCTTCTCCAAGCATTCTTGAGATATTTGGTTTCCAAAAAGGGACAGTAAGATGGACGGACAACCCCCCCAAGAAAACATGCTGCCTCAGGCCAATGCACTTTCTAGAATTATTTAAAAACATTAGTAGTTAATAATTAGCTATATTAAGATTCATACAGCTTTGGAAATAAATCCAAATAACACCCATGTATTTTTTTCTAGAGGCGGTTTACCACTGGGTGACACGGCGTGATTAAAACCTCAGAACAGAACGATTTAATGATTTAATGATTTAATGATATCGTGCCGTAACCAACCTTGAAGAAGGTCATGGTGGAGCCGTCCTCCACCACCCCGTATTCTATCTTGGTCTGCTTGGCCAGGTCATCGGCGGAGTCGATGGGCGACTCCATCCTCTCCACGGTGAGGAAGGCTGCCAGGTTTGCCGTGTAGGAGGAGATGATGATGAGCGTGAAAAACCACCAGATTCCTCCTACAATTCTGGTGGAGAGGGCTTTCGGCATGAGCTCAGAGCCTGAACGAGAGGAACAGAGGAGGCGGGTGAGACCTGGGACAACATGAGGCTGGAAGGGGGGGCAGCACCCAGACAAGACCAGACCAGACTGGGCTGAGCCAGGCAAGGCCATTGCGTCTGCTGCCTGGATCACACTCTCATACTCAGACACACCGAGTGGGCAGAGTGGGCAGCCTCAGAGTTGGACCTGGTGATTGGTATTTAGTCTAACACTGGAGATATGACTCACCACTTCCTGTGTTCTCTGGACTGTCTGACTGTGAGTCCATACTGCCTACTCCACTTCTAATGTTGCCAAGATGATTGTCCTTGTACATAAAAAAAAAAGTGTGTGCCTTTGAGAAAGAGGAGGCCAACAACCTTTATTCCATTCTCATGATAATTCATTGTCTTTTATGACTACTTTAGGAAGCTAACTAAAAGCATTCGTTGTTTTCATGCCCAGTTGGGCTGTGACTGGCTAGAATTAGTAGCCTCCAAGTTTGAGCACCAAAAGCACCAACAGAGTGCTCTAGGTTTGAAGATGATTTGACCTAGTGGCCAAATTGTGCAATTACAATGACTTTGCTGTCATTTGAAGAACACTGGTCAAAAAGATTTCCTATCTACTAACATGGTGAAAAATATGATTGCAGATCAACAGAAATGTTTACAAGGTAAACCAACTTCCTTTGTTTAAACCATAAAGTCCTAGATTTGTAAAGTTAGAGCCAAGGGGTTTGGAGGTGGTGTTAAAGAAAACCCCAAACATAACTGGACATATACTTAATTTGGTCAAAATCTTTGGCTTCTTACCGAGCAGCTATAAACAGGGAATCTACCTGAAATAGCATTTTCAGATCTCCTCATATACCCACTGAGTTCAGGAGGCTGCTGTCTATGTTCCCCTTGATTTAATGATTCAGCCCAAAGCAGGATATTACTCTAACCCAGCTAAGTAGTATTGGCGCCTTTGACTAACCACATAACAACAGCTCTACTGTATTTATGGTGTACTTGGTAAGGTCTAGGCTCTTTGGATGGTTAGGTGTAGGAATGGATTGTGCTTTGGGGGTTTAGAAATAGCTGGTGTGTAATTCCATGTTAAAGAAAAAAAAAACAGCCCCAGGAGGAGTTAGAAAACATTGCTGGGAAGAGGGAAGTCTAGGTCGACTTACTGCGCTTGTTGCCAACGTGACCTGACCTCAGATAAGTGGAAGAAAATGGATGGATGGTAAAAAAAAAAACGTCTCTATGGCTAAAAGTCTTGTGCTTGAGCAATTGGCTCTCCAAACCAATGGACGAATATTGGGGTAAGACTGGGCAAAATGACTGTGAATCAAGAGGATAAGAAAAAGATAGCATTTTATGCTAGCACGCTATTTGGACTAAACACATTTAGAGAAGGTAGCTAACCAGACGAGCGTGTAACACAGTGTTTCCACGAGACAGGCTACACCTATATTTCTGAAAGGCTGCACTTCAGTAATATTTTGATTGTCATAATGAAGCGAACTCATAAAACCCAAAGGTTGAAGACTATTTGTTAGAGTTTAAAGTAGTTCTACCATCTTATTTTGAGCCATATATTGTTATTTTTTTATTGTTAGCCAAGCTTAAAGGGGGTATATCTCACTTCATTTTCAAAAGGCATACATTGTAACATGCTAGTACCTTGTACTGCCATATGTTTAAGCAGTAATTAATCCCCCCGAGGAAGCGACACATGTCCCTTCACGAGTACTACCTGTTCCATGACAAAACACTCTGGTATACGAGGGTTTTCTCAAATGAGATTTGAGTTTAAAATGATGGTTTCCCCTGTTTCAGACAGCTCTCTGGTCACTCAGAGATCCAACCTGTCGGGCCCCGTTTGCAGTTGGTCAATAGCGTGAAATTGCATGTCAGGATCCTTTGAAATTAATTGATTTTTGTGCAGAAATGTTGAAGCAGTAAATGCTGCTCCGCCCTGCCCCTTACACATTTAGTTTGGCAATGAATCGCTTACTTTAGCTTTTTTTTGTACCATTTCATTTCTTACAAGAGAGTGCTTTTAAATCTTCAGTTAATCAGACTTCTCTCTGTGCAAAATGGTTTTATGTATGCAGAAGTGGGAATATAAAGCGGCATACATTAGTGCGTGGGTTCAGTGTGGGTGAGGGGAGGGAGGTTTATTGTCAGGGTTAAAGGAGGTGGGCTCGGGTTATATCGCTACCATTCTACTCGAGCGGCTTAAGCAATTGAAAGAGGGGATTTTGCACATTCAGTCGGAGGGAAAGCTGATAAAGAGTCTGAGCGATAGGAGGTTAAGAACTCTGTGCTCCACTCTCTTTGTGAGAGACTCAATCTGCACTCTCACTTTTCATCAAACTTTCTTTTCCTTCTCACAGTCCCTTGAGTAAGATGTCTAGTAGAGGGAGCATGCAGGGAGAGACATGACGGCCGGCTTCAGCTCCAGCTCGCTGCTACTGATGCTGCAACGGAGAGGGAGCGGGGGCGGGCTAGAGGGGACACATGCCCAGTGGTGATTCTTGAGTCTGTTGGGGCCCTAGGCAAAAATGTACTGGGGGGCCTTCAGACCAGCGTTCATCAACATTATGTCTACCAGGGTCCCGAAGCATGCTTATCCCCTTGTTAACTTACAGTTACAAACTTTGGTTTTCACAGCAATAATACGTGCAACGCTTAGCAAGTCAACAAGAGTGAGTGGGGTCAGATGGGGCCTCCTTTAGGGAGGTTTCCTATTGTCATTGCAAAATTTGCACATTTTGAGCCACAGCTGTGATTGAAAGTTTGTCTGCCCTCCGGGGCCCCAAACAGTTGTCTGCCCTGCCTGTTGACAAGCAGCACCTCTGCAGGTTTCACCCAGGAGGACATCAGGGGATTATTTAATGAATTATAATATTAACGATTATAAAAACACAGTAGTTAGTGTAACACATTTATGTATTTTCCCAAGTGGCTGATTGTGTTTACTAAACGTCTACAATCTTAGCAATCTGTAGCATCTACAATCAATCAAGAACGGAACGACGACACTGCTTCTTCTTCTTCTCTTTAACCACTTTTAATATCTGTTGTTAAACTTTTATTTTCATCCAGCGTAGAACTACCACCATATGTTGATGATAAACTGTCAGCAGCTGACGAGCCCAACGCTACAACTCATTATGTAAAGTATAAGGGGTTCCCAAACTTTGCCATTTTAATGACCTGCATATCGCATAAGCCTGACATGGGGACCTGATCTTGCAAAGTTTCTTAATTGGAAAATTAAATCACAAAACGTCTTAGTATATTATTTGACTTTTATTAACGATCAATAATGTTGTTATTTGTTTCATTCAGTGTATTTTTTGTTGTTGTAAATGTCTAGTTGGAGAGGATCTTGAGGCAGAGAACACACTATGCTGACTCAGACCTAAGTGTTTTAGATGCCTTGGTTGTGTTCCACGCCTGTGGCTCTTTTACAGCTGAGTCGTGTTCAATCTGGTCGCCTGGCCGCCATTGTTAGAGGAGGCAGGCAGCTAGTTTTCAGTGGTACAGCGACTTTCTAATATCAGTGTCACTCTCATAGTGGCAGCTTGATTCTGATTGGCTTAAGTAGTCTTTGTTATTTTTTTTAAATTGTTACTGAAAACGGACACAGATTTCGATGTGCAGTGATTCATGACATCTAAAAGACATTTTTTGGTCAGAAATAATGTTAAAAGTGTAAAGTTTTGCAACCCCCGTAGTGCCCCCTGGTGACCCTGACATTGAAAAACACTGATTTAAACGTGAACTACGTAGATTTGGAAGTGAAATTTGAGAGGTGGAGAAGTGAAATAATCATCTGCTACATTTTCTTAACTGAATACACAAACTTTACTCAACGGAAAAAATGATCCCTGAACACTGTTTGGAGGTAAAAAGCGACCAGGAGAGTTAAGCTTTCACTGTATTGGACCCCCCACCATAACGTCACGCGTAGCATTTTATCTTCAAACAGTGATACAGGGATCAAGTTTTCCTCTAAGGACAGTTTGTCTACTTTCACAATTCTCTACCAAAACTCCAGAGTGCACCTTTAACATTAGGCAACCATCATCTGTGTATCTGCTCTGTCCAGCAGCGGTGTCCGCCCTAAATGAAACCCTTTGGTACGCACATGCCCCGTGTAAGTAAATGACCCTGTGATTGGCGTTGTCAGGGGTTAGTCTCCTGTATGGATGAATTATGAAATGGTATGAGGGAGCTCTTTGCTGATATTTGCACTGATCATCCGCTTGATTCTCTATTCTTTCCCTTCTTTAGAAATACTATATATAAGTGTATCTTCATGTTTATCTCTTTTAAATCTAAATCAGTTTTTGTGTAACTTAAAGTAGTTTGGATAGCTTTGAAGGTGTCGTACTGTAAAGACTCGTCTCACCAAAGCGATGACACACACCATCTGTTTAACCTCCGTTTAGCAGCAGCAACCCACTTTGCCCATTCATCACACCACAACCAAGCACAAAAGAATCAAGGTAGCAGGCATCAACACAAACACATATTCATCAGTGTAATTAGCAGAGGAGTCTGCTTGTTCTGGGGCGGACCCAGAAGGTCTGGCTTTCAGATGCATGTTTTTAAAAAGTGGAACATTTTTACCAGCTCGAGCTTCTCATCCTGTTCCACCTCAGACACCAGAACCAAGAACAAAAGAAAAAAAAAAAAAGACCCAAACAGAGCCTGGTTGGGGCTGACTGTCATGTACCCAAGGTAACGTCATGACCAAACAGCACTTCCCACAGTTTCCTGGGGGGCGGGGGCCAGCTGCCGGGCAGGGGAGCCTCTCTACAGAGCGGAGCAGCACGGTGCCATGCAGACACTGTGTGTTCATCCAGTTCAGTCCTCCCACAGCTCTCCGGCCTTCAGCCACATCTTCTCAACTGGTCAAATCTACACGTCTGTCTGAACGGCTTCTTAAACAGTCTGCTCTTCTATATTCTGCTTCTGGGAGCGCAGATATTTGGCAATTTAGATAAATCTCCTCGTTTGTTAAAAAACACTTTTTATGTCCACCGAAGCTTTAAAGTGATTATGTCTCAGGGCGAGGTTAAACCATTTTTTGATCTGAGATATTTTCAGCGATCTTTGCATGATTCAATAAAATACAATTTAGTGTAAAACCTTTGGGGAAATTAGAGAGCATGCAGTCAAAGTTTTGCATGCAACCAGCCAACATGGGGGAAGTTATAAGCTACTACGTCCCCTAAAAGATCAAGGTAACCAACGGACTCAAAGGGTCATTTCATCACTTTCTCATCTACCTCTTCTACCCTCTTCTACCAATCTATCACTGCAGACAATTTGGCTTTATTCTTCAAATTTCAAGTTTTCTGCCTCTGATATTTTACCCTCTTTCATCTATTTATTTTATTTCTATAAATGTCTTTATGTATTTTGAGCTAAATCACAGCAACGTCATCTTAGATCTGCCTCGTTTCATACACAATTTACAAAACAAAGACTTTAGTATTCAATTTCAGCAAAATCTTTTTTTTTTTAAGATTTATTTTTGGGCCTTTATTATGGAGACAGGAGAGTGGGTAGAGAAATCAGGGAGAGAGAGAGAGTGTGGAGTGGCCACAGGTCGGATTTGAACCCGGGCTGCACGCTTTGAGGAGCGTAGCCTCTGTACATGGGCCACACACACTAACACTTTCTCAGTCTCCTTTATTTTCTGAAATGTATCTCATTATTTAACGAAAAGACACTCTTGGAAAAAGCATGCAACTCCAAAAGATTTGAATTATTTTAAGGATACATTGAATCTATAACGATGTGTTAAAAGAAGTCAGATCAGGTTTTTAATAATAAAATAATAATATCTGCTCTGACACTTGTCATACATCACAAGAAAATGGCAAGAATTCAGATTGATCCCTTTTTTAGATTCATTTGCGTTTAAATTCCACATCCAGGTATTCAGCTGATCTTACAATTTAACAGATTATTTCTATTATTTGGTGTAATTTTAAAAAAATCTGACTTTATTTAGGTTGTGCAAGATGACATCTCAGATAATTAAATCCTGCACAAAAGAATCCAAACTATCTGCATGAAAAGATACAACTAGAAGTACGGGAGTTGTTTTTTGTTTTTTTAATGATGAACTGGCCCTTTAAATCAGCTCAAACTACCTTGTGTTTTTTCTGTTCTCAGCTATTAAGATGCATTTATAGACAGACATGCTTTCCAGGACCTTAAACCATCACTACCCAGTGCTGGTATGTTTGATTTTTAATGAGAAAAGACGGTCATTTGAGGATGCAGGATATCGTTGTCACATGCATTCTTAAGGCTAACGGCCACAGACTTATTTAAATGATAACCTCATGTTTACGTTAACCTGTTTCTTTTTTTTCTCTCTCCACTTGTTGAGAAGATATGGCATTAGTTTGGCATTAGGAAACAAAACCAAACAGGCAGGAAGCTGCTGAGTTCTCACTCTCACCCAGTCTCACCCATTTGATCCGTCTCAGGTGTTCTGGGTGGGTGTGCTTACCTGTTCAGACGGCTGTGAAGAAGTGGGGAGGGGGGGAGGGGGGAGCATGCAGGAGCAACATCCTCATTCATCAATCAGATCACTCAAATCCCGTTCAGTCCCTCCTGCTGGACTCTACCAGTCAAGCATCCAGCATCATGCACAGAGGCCCCCATGCACGCTCGCGGGCCTGGTCAAAGAGCAACGTTGACCCCCAGCAAAAAGTGGGACTTGTGCCTTTAAATAGAGGAGGGGGGGGCAGGCAGAGGCGTCTACCTTGCTGCATGAGAGCTCCAACTCCGAACCAGAAACTATTTAGCAGGGTGAAATTGTTTTCCACTACATCCGAGTCGGGGTTGCAAGGGTGGGGGTTATACCACTCGTAGGGACTAAACCTGTGACAGTTAACAGAGAACACACACACACACACACACACAAACACACACATATATGTTTACTGCAGTGGCATAAAAGACACAAGAGAAGACAATAAAAACAGACCAAGAGTGGTCGTCCTACCTGGGGAGACGGGGGAGAAAAAGCAAAGGTTAGTAAGTCGTGTGCAGAGAGGATTCAAATGAAGAAATGCCTGAGATCATTTCCTGTGTCTGAAAGCGTCTTTATATCTAAACGTGTGCGAGTGTGCATAAACACCTCAGAGGGCTGCTCTCTTATTGGATTAGTATATAAAGAGTTTATTCACAATATCAACACTAATCAACTCGTTTTCCTCCAACATCATGCTCATTGAAAGTTAAATTGTTTTCATCGTGCACTGGTAAATTGTTCTGCATTTTAGTCACTGATCTGTTAAAAAATCAAAACATATTTTGTCATTACACAGTTTCATAAATGTTCAGCAACTGAAAAGATAAAAGATGATGAAAATCAGGAGAGACTGCAGGCTACGTTTGAAAGTAAAACAACTTTTTTTGTACGCTATTGTTGCCGTCAACCACTTTCAACAAAACGTTACAGTCAGGAAGGTTTTCTGTTGCTTTATTGACTTTACATGGAAACATTTTTTATTTAAAGTCTTGCTATGTGATTTTCACACTTAAATATATAAATCAAGTATATCCTCTGAAAATAACTCTGTGAGTCATGACTGTCTACAATGGGTGTAACACCCGAGTCCCACTGTCTGTGATGTTTTCAGAGTTTTCAGAGTCCTATCTTCAGTTTGTTTACATCGCCGGGACGGCCGGCTGACTCCTCCCCTCGTGTATAAAAGTTGTTTAATTGAGGGACTAGAAAAAAGAAGAATAACATACTGTACTCACTGCTTAACTGTGTTTCTAGATCACGCTCATTTCAGGTAAATTTACATGCAGTGTGAAGATACCAGCATAATAAAGATTGCTAGCATTAGCATGCTAACACAACAATGCAGCGCGAGTTGTTTTGGTTTCATGCTGGTGCTCAAGGGCGACATCTTCTGGATAAAAAAAATCACATATAAAGCCTTTAAGGTAGAGTGAGAAATTAGCTGTTTGCGTCATAAATGCAGGAAAATTCCAACTTTTCAAAAAGTTTTGGTTACGGATGTGGAAGCAACTTCTGACAGTTTTTTGCCTTTAAATTAATGCTACTTGTAATCGGATGTTTTTACAGAATTAACAAACTTGTAGAAAAGAACAAACTGGGGAGCAGAAAAGAGAATGAAGCAGATTCTTTACCCCTGCCCACCCACTCAGCTCACTGCCACTTTGCACAAAACTTTCTCAGGGGGCTGGCAGGAAAAAAGTACGGGAAAAGGTTTGCATTCACAAAACACCATAAAAATACAGGAAGTTAACATTCATCATTTTCTGCTAAAGCATCTTAACAAAGCAAAGCAAAACCTTTACACTGTCCCAAACATCACGGTGATGTTTCTGTCCCAGTGAGAGATTTTAAACAGCTTACAGACATTACAGGAGCAAAACAGTGCCCCACATTCTCACAGAGCTGTTACACATAACTCCTTTATGATGTTGTTCTGCCTCTGATAGCACCTTTACTGTCGGGTCAATGACTGAACACCTTAGCCCCCACCACTCTGCCTCTGTACCTTTTCACAGATCAGTAAGGTCCAGTGAAAGTGTAACGATCCTACTCTTGAACTGGCTCTGGGGTGTTATTAAATATGTTGTTTCTTGAAAATGTTGCCCGAGGTGTCTCTAGAATTTTTAATATTCAGTTTCTTTTCAGGTGCTGACCAAATAGGAAAAAGTTAAATGTTTAGTCAGATCTTCACTTATAGAATTAACGATCTGGGACATTAAAGTCCAACTCTATAACAGCATTTCAGCTCATTTTTGTGGGCTTTTCATGCCTCCATTTTTGAGACATAACAGTGAACATAGTCGGAAACCAGGCATGGAGAGTGGGGAACAACATGCGGGAAAGGAGCCACAGGTTGAACCCGAACCCGGGCCGACGCACCGAGGACTTCAGCCAGGGTGCTGGTGGCCACTCTGCACTGTTAGCATGATGTCAGAGGAAAACTCGCCGCTGTGTGAATACAGCTGGTTGCTCAGTTGTCAATTTGGATTTCTCCTTTTAGCTCAAGCCCTAAAAATGATTCTTCCCCTTCACGTCTCTGTGTGTTTTTAGGTTTAAATAACACGCAATACCGGGGAAGTGGGCTTGAATTAACCACCACTCATATTCCCAAAGTGGCTCCTTGTGTAGGAGTGCTCATATCAAAAGGCAATTCCCCTCGGTAATTTAATCGATGGGGTCCAAAAATAACTCCATTGTCAGCCGAGGAAAAGAACTAATAATCCTTATAATCTTGGAGGAGCATTAATATTCAGCAGATCAAACGGTTCATTCCCATCGCGCCCACGCCCGGCCCCGGCGCTCCCCCCTCGCTCTGTGCACTCGTCAAGCAGAGAGATTTCTCATTTATTCATATTAAATAAAAGTGACATCACATTAGTAAAGGTTGATTGGTCTACAATTAAGCATCCTGACCTGATTTGGTTTTGCGCTGGAGTACGGGAGGGACAGGGGACCCTAACTCCACTCAGGCTGTTTAACACACACACAGGGTTTGGCTAATCAAATTGCGATGCATAATGTAGACTTGTCTCAGTGAGGGTCTTTTTTTACTGTGCAGGGGGAGTCAGAAGCGATAACCTCTGGAGGATGTAACATCTGCGTGGAGGATAATGCAGATGAAACTGCTACGGCGCCGCGTGTCGAGGCTTTGATCCATTGTCCTCGGGGGGTAAAAAAGACGACAGGACTGCTCTGAATACTGCAATGCACGACTCTGTATGAAGATGTATGGCTGTATATCGATGAAATGACAGCATCATAACTGTGACCTGTCATTGACTAATGGGCTTTTGCCATTATAATGTGGTTAGCACTAGCGTTCGTTTTCAACCCCTACATACATATCGTGTAGCGCCGCTCAAGGACCCCTGAATGTCCCCGTTATTCCCGCACCGAGAGAGAATCCTTGGCCTTAAATCAATCCGTCTGCTCACTCAATTTGTCCCCAGATTTGCTTGCTTGTCAATTTGCAATGCCAAATTGAGTTCAACTGAACTGCGACCTTGGAGCCCGCGTATGTGACGATGTGACCCAATCCCTTGTGCCGAGGTCTCAGAGTGTATTTCCTCCCAATCATGTTGAGAAAAGCCAATTACATCTCGCTGTGAACACGGATGAGTTAAGTTGTCAGTGCCCGTGCCGGGTTGATGGGAGTGGCTGGTCGGACCCTGCGTTTGCTGCGGCGGCTGTTTGGGTCAGAGAATGCTAAACCAATGCCGTTTTACAGGAGACGACACGGCTTAGCTGCTCGGCCTGTTTCGCTGTCATTTTTGATCCAATTACACTGCCCTTACATTATCTCAGGTCATCTGAGCTGCAGAGGGAGAGAAACTTTGAGTAAGGTCAGTGCCGAGATAAGAGCGAAAGGGGGTGGGAAAAAAAACAGAAATTCACCAGCAGGGCAGAAACAATGTGAGGCTTTTATCTTCTTTTTAGGAGGGGAGGGGTCACTGCAGAAAAACTCCAGCCATGATGTGCAGGATAACAGAGATGGATCAACAAAGTCAGAACAGTCCTGCTGCTTTGTCACAGAGTGAGAGACTGTATATGTCAACACGTCGGCTTTGGAGGTATCCTCCTCAACCTGTTGGAAGGTTTTATTGTAGACTTTTAAACTTGTACTAGCCTCTGAACAATTCGGGGGAAAGAAATAGTAGGGACCGAATTAAAACCAGGAAGAAGAGATTGTCTTTGAGTACTGATCTCTAAACCCCTCTCTAACCCTAACCCTAACCCTATGTTTTCAGCATCAATGTTTCTATCCAGCAGATCCTACTTAGAAGACAGCTCTTGACTCTGACGGGAGTTTCAACAACATGATGAAGGGTTGTCTTTAATATGAGCACATACTCAACTAAAGGCTTGTCATTTAGAGACTGAGGACGCACAGACAACACCTCGATGTGAGCACAGAGGGATCTATTCTAACTTTGAGGAAGGCGGTCGAGAGCTTGATGTCTATATCAGGACTTGAAATTATTGCACAAATGTTCTGATTGATCACCATCACTATGTTTGACCTCTTACTTGACCTTTAAGTTCACTAAGACTAACAGGGTGATAATGATCAGCATAATAGCAGTTACAACCAGTTACAGTCAGTGGATATACAGTTACAGGGCAGGTAGCAGTACAACATGTGGTCATATTTTTTTTGCATCCATGTGAAACTGTGAAAGACTTAAAAACATGGCAGAGATAAGCTGCTCTATCTTCTGTGTGAGTCCCGTCAAGAGTGTTCGGTTTCTGTCACACATCCAAACAGTCAGTCTCACAGTACAGCACAAACACAAGCACACATAGATCAAATGTGTAATGTGTTACACACACAGATATCAACAGTTTATTTAATGCACAGTGGAACTAAACCCTGGGAGAAAGTCAGTCCTAAGTGTGTCTCACAAATGTTTCTGAAATGAGAGAAATGTCGGTGATATAGTATTAAGTAGAACTCACTGAACAGGGGGGTTGCTGGCCTACCACCGCCTTGGTTGTTTACAGAGGCGATTATAGAGTCTATTGGGGACCTATGCAAAAAACCATTGGGGGGGCCTTCCAACCATCATGTCTGCCAGAGTCCCAACGCTTACACTTCCTTTTTCTGTTTTCTCTCCTATAGACGGAAATTGCTTGCTGTCAGATGGGGCCCCCCTTAGGGAGGTTTCCTACTGTTGTTGCAAAATTTGCACACTTTGGGCCACTGTTTTGGTTTAAAGTTTGTCATCCCTCAGGGTCACTCCCTAATGGTCTGGGGGCCCAAAGCGGTTGCCTGCATTGCCTGTTGACAAGCGGCGCCTCTGGTTGTTTATGGTAAGTATGTTTGTGTTATTGTGTTCGAGGTTTTGGGCTGGATATGAACGAATATTACAAATCCCAACGTCCAACAATAACCCAAACAAACTGATCAAACCAGAGGTAGACCACCAACTCTAATGTCTCCAAGGTTACCGCTGTTTGAGTTTAATACAAAAAAGGCCAATAACTGTTTTAACAGTCAGGTCTATCTCTGTTGGGATGCTTTCTGTAATGTTGTCAGAATTACAATCTGAGCCTGTCAGTGACAAAAACAAGAACTTCTAGTGAATACATTTTGGCCACAACTATCTGTTGCTGGCAGATTGCTACAGAAATCTGCATAACCATTTTCAAAATTCTGTGCACCCATTTCTCATTTTGGACCAATAAAAACATTAAATATGGCCCATGTTAAAAATACCACAATTCCTATTTGACTGCCATTGCCATGGTTAAAAGACACCAACCAAGTAGTTCCTCTCTGGACCCTGACAATGTTGGCCCCCTGCCTTGGTGTCCTATGGCCCTCACCTAACGTCATTTTTAAGGCTCATTTAAACTCCAGTCGGATGTGCTTACAGATATGGATAGAGCCTACGGTCTGTGCTCTGAATTAATTTGATCTGTATTTCTGCATATTTCTGAAAAGGTTATAAATAATAAATACTGACCAAACATTGCAATACCAATGGAAATCATGGGGGCAGTGTTGAGCAGTGTGGTGAGCAGTTAAAGACAAACCAGCAAAACTCAACAAAGAAGAAAACTTTGGAAAATGGTGGACCTTTTTGAGGAATAATTGTGCAAGTTGGTCAGGAACTATATATATATATATATATATATATATGATGTTACCTTGCCTGGCACATGGACAAAAAACTACAACAGAACACCTGGGCTCGGAGATCGGACTGGTAGCGAGTGTCAGTTCGACAGCCATTAAGTAGAAGTGAAGGACTGTGCAAGACGGCGCCCTCTAGTGGATGCATTGTTTGACATCCATCTTAATATCAAGGACATTTGGGAGTGTATGGATAGAGACGTTTATATCGTTCAAAATGTAGGTTTCTATTTTTATACGTAAGCTTGAAAGATCGTTTAGAAGGCGGAGATTATGTAAGTTTGGAGTAGGAGAAGGGAGGTGCGAGCAAGACTGCGCCCTCTAGTGGATGTATTGTTTGACGTAATTCCAACATAAAGGACGTTTGGGGGTTTATGGGTAGTGATGGTTATACCATTTTAAACCGTAAGTGACTATTGCAGGGTTGTTCGTCACTGACAGGAAACTGAACCTTGATCAGATGTAGCTTAATTGATTCATCTATCTACCGGCATAAAAAGCTTCTAAATATATCTGAGACCACAGGGGGGGGGAATTTGCCAAGCTACCACTGGCGGTATGTGAGTTCAGGGATTACAGAATCCATACACAAATTTACTTCCAGTTGTATCATGGCAAGTATATAGTTTTTTACTCTGCAAAGGTTAAAGATAAAAGTATTTTTCCTCTAGAGGGCGTTGTAAGCAAAGGTCGTTGATCGCTCCCGAAAGAACTTCTGGGGAATTTTTTTAACTTGTTGAATCGTTTTGATGACAAACTAGATTTTAAAAGAGTAACCTGATGCCGAGCAGTAAGACACGATTCTGTCGTGGTTTGGTCGTCTGCCTTACTGGTTTTTCTCATTTCATGAAAGTTTGTGAGACAGTTTGAGTTTCTTATAATCTACAGCAAAGACATGCAGCTGTATCCCATCATGCATCTGTGTATACAGGAGAAAAAAGGAGGAATAAAGTGAGGGGGGGAAATTTGAACACTTACCCAAACACTTACTTATTGTGATATTTTAAAACAGATAGGTGCATATTCTGAGCCAACTTAGATGACAGTTGTCGCTTTTTAAAAACTCTCATGTGTGATCATATCGCCAGTAACATCGTAAAACACGTGTGTTAACGGTAAAACTGTCGGGTGCACGGCTGCAAGACGGCCCGAAGACTCACCGACAGTTTCACGGTTAACATACCTTTCTTTCTCTTTTTTTTTTCTTCACCGTGCTTCAAACTGCAGCTACGAGAAAGACACTTCACCGAGCAGCTTTCAGAAAAAAGATTCTGCAAGAAGACATTGCACTAAAAGCAGTCGAGTAATTTCACCAGCTAAAGCACACTTGGTGTCAACTGTAACGACAAAGTAAAAACCTGGAGAGGATGAGCAGAAAGAAAACAGCAGACTGCTTTAATGTGCTGTGAATTCAACAAGTACCAATCTATACAAGGTTCTCTTACAAACAGAGTCGTGGTGGTTGTTCCTCTTGGTCCTGAACATCCAACCCTAACTCGGTCAGTTAAGTGCTTTCTGCAGAAGACGTGTTTTTACTTTACTGTTGATCCCACCTACATGACTGACCCCTGATCACCTGTTGGTTGTTTCAGGCTCTGTCATGGGAATATCCCCAGAATTTCTCTTCTTTGACTTTTACTCAACCTCACCCAGTGAAAAGTTAGTTTCACCTTAGAGCTGAACAACAGAGTTAAAGGGATACTTCACCCATGAGCATTAATCTTTGTATCATTAGAAACCTGGTAGTATTTTTGAATGGTCGTGCATCCTGCCCTCATTTTCCCCTGAGATGGTAAATCTTTGTATTTTTAAGTCTGAAATGGAGCTTCCAGTGACGCAAAAATCGTCATTTTGCTCAGCTACCAGCTCAGCAGCCAAGACATGAGGCCTGTCTGTCGGTGGCGGTGAGGACGAAGAGCCGGGGCGGACTGGTAGTGTCGGTGCGCTCACTGTTTGTCTATAGACTCAGACATAGAGTCTGTTTTCTGACAGGAATTTCCAAGATCAAGTCTGGAAGAAATCTCGGAATCAGTTGAGGAAACAGCCTTATGTGTTGAAGTAAATATGTCTGTAAACCTGACCTTAGTGGGAGTGGCCTGCGGTACTGTGCATTCTGGGATTTGGTGTCTTTCATCCACGAGCCAAAAAGACACTTTATGCCTTTTCACGGCCAAGAAGGCACCAACTTCAAAATGTATTTCATATTTCTACATATATGACCCAATGTCAATACAGATTCATGTTTCAACAGGTGAAGTATCCCTTTAACTCACGTTTAGTCGCAGTGATTTTAACAAAGCAAAGACACTTAATGAATTTGGCTCTTGTTTTTTCATTTGAACTAAAGTTATGATTTCAATTCATTATTTCGGATTCGGCATTCCCACTTTCAATCAGTACAACGTCCACTCACCCATCCCTAAACTTCTGCAGAAATACTTTCACAGTTCATCAACAATACATGACTGCAGAAATGTTAGCAACAAGCCTCTGCAGAGCAATGAGCTTGAAATCTGCAGCACTCCCTCACACTGGGTTCGGTCTCTGTGAACAAAGCGTAAGGCCATTTGAACTCGGGGTGGCAGCGATTAACTGCAGTGTGAGACCTGTGAGTGCAGGTCACAGACCCGTTTATTAGAGAACTTTACTGCACAAGAAGAGGAAGAAAATCCAAGGCAGCTGCGGAAAATCACCCTTAATGAGGAAGAAAAAACGACCAAAGGTTCTTTATGTTTTCACATCCCGGCACAGCAAAGACATCTAGGCTGATGCATTTGGTCTTCATCATTATGGATTCTGAGCTTTTCATGGACACCAGAGACACTCATGACTAAGAGAGTACAGTTAAGTTTGACATCCGGAGCAAAAAGTTACAAGGACTGTACGATCACATTCGCCTCTTCATCTCTTCTGTGAGGTGACAGCTCATAAAAAAATCTAATAAAGCAGACATTGTGCTTGTAAGTCGCCGTTGCTTTTAGCTTTTAAAACACGGAGACTGTGAATAAAAAAAGGCATGGCGTTTATCTCTGAGTCATAGTTTCTGTTTGAAGCAAGGTGAAGGAAACAAGAGCAAAGAAAAGACAGCATGAACTCGGAGACACTGGGGACAGTGAGGAAAGGTGGGGGGGAGGAGGCAGTGTTCACATCGAGCTCCACACATCCCACACACACACACACACACACACACACACACACACACACACACAGCTGCATGACTGTACAATCTCGCACACACACACACACATGCACACACAACCCTCAAACGGCTGATAGGCCTAAAACTGCTCTATCTAAGGTCTGTTTGTGTCTCCTGTGCTTTCATCTACAGATGTGAGTGTGGAAAAAAAAGGTAAAGATTGAGTTATTCCTTCACTTTGAAAACACAGAGCTGAGCTTTGATTCATGACCATTGATTTAGCTTTCACTGCCTGAAGTCAGCGTGGTCGGGACACACTTCCTGTAATTAGACGGGATTAGCCTGTGGTTGGCTAGCTGAGGCGAGGCCTGAGCGATGATTGTGTCTGACTGTGTGTGAAGCTGTGACCCGCTCGGGAGCGACATGTTACCTGGCTATGACAAACAGCACACAACTGACACCCAAGTAGGCCAGCAGAATATACATCCAGATATCGGGCGAGAGGGGGTTGAGGAAGGAGAAGACCCCAGGGTTGGTCCCGTTGGGCTTGCGGTACAGTATACTTATACCCAGCGTCATGAAGGGCTTGGAGAAGTCGATAACCTTCTCGCGGGCGTACGTGATGGCGAGGGGAGCCACTGCCAGGTCAGCTCTCTGTCAACAGTAAAAACATAAAAAGGGAAGAGAGATAGGCCATAAGTCACGGGGAAGAGGAAGCATTTAGAGGCAATCAAATTAAGAAAACAGGGTCTTTACACACTACGGATTCTGTCCCGAGGCACTTAGCGAGAAATTTAAAGCCCTCTTTTTCTCTCCAGACATCAAGAATACGCCGCAACAATAAACTCTCCCTGAAGACTAAATCATAGCTTTGACTACTTGTCTCTACAGACTTCATTCTTATGTTCAGTCGGATTTAAGATAAAGGCTGTGCTATCAATTCAATTCAATTTCAATTCACTTTCACTTAGCAGACGCTTTTATTCAAAGTGACGTACATCAGAGAGTAAGAACAACACAAGCAAGGATCTAGAAAAAAGGGAACAATGTCAGTAAGAGCAAACGATCAGCTTTGAGTCTGATTGGACACACAGGTGCTGACAGGAAGTGACCAGAGGCAAAGCACAACATTGAGGGCAGTTCTTGAGAGCTCTAATCAGTATAGAAACCATCTTATAAGTCGTCGTTATCAAACAAAAACCATCGTCATTACCATCATCATCATCAATAATATGGAGACCATCATCATTAAGTTAGTAGGTATTCATGAAAGAGCTGGGTCTTTAGTTTTTTCTTAAAGGTACAGAGGGACTATCACAAGACCGTTGTTAAAAAGATGCATCAGTTGGTGAAGAGTGTAGTCAGAATGGGTCACATGCACGGTTAAGTCCACCGTTGGTTATCGTTTATTAGACTACTGTCCTCGTCCCAGTGTACATGCATCAGGTGATGATTGATTTATTAACTGCAGTGTGTTTGATTTTGCTGTGATGGGTGGTGAACTACTTCTGGTCGACCTTTTACATCTCAACCCAGAAGAAGTCAACAAACAAGTTAGCAAGTGGAAAAACTGGTTGTATGTCGAACAGTGAAAACATGGTTAGGCTACATTAGATTTAAACGACCTCCAACCAGGACTTCCTTTTTCATCTAGCGTTTACATCTGTAACAGAGCTTCTTCTCCAGGGGGGTTTAAATAGACCCCTGAAATCCTCCTGATCAGCTGATTCTCTGGACTCTCAGGCCTCATCAGACCCACTTCGTGCCCGAGGCTAGATTTTAGGTGGTGCCTCTTATATTGCAAGCGATTCCCCCACCGATCACACTATTCATACACTTAAAGAAAACTGTCATACAGCTTTATGTTTTACAGCTTTTCCATTATTTAAACCTGATATTTATCGGTACGATCAGTGTCACTCATGTCTGATAACTCGTCTGCCCTCCTCCTCCACAAAGAGCAGGTATCGATCAGCATATGTTAGGTAGTGATGTTGTATTGGCTCCTTTGGTTATATCACCGAGTAATAGCATGAAAATTACATTAGATAAAATAACATGTTTCCTTCTTTGTTTTTATTATCTTCAACTTTTCTTCCTCACTCATTTCGGGTGCCAGGATGCCCCCTATGGACGGCAGGCGCCCCTAGAATTTGCTTATACTGCCTATGCCCCGGCTGAGCCTGGGCCTATAGTCCCCATAAAAACATGCCTTTAAAAAAAAAAAAAAAAAAAGCTTTCTGTGCGTTTTGGTCTTTCATACATGCAAACTGCGTTTTAGATCACTGAAAACTCCATCCAGGATGAAGATTTCTAGAAACTGACACAACTAGAACCGACGGCCAATGATCTCCTTGGTGTGTCAGGACCTTAAGGTGTGGAAAACAGAGTTTTGGGCTTGTAACGTCACACTGTGCATCACGCCATCTTTTCCACTGCAAAAACTTCATAAGGCTTTGAAGGTCTATGGAGGTGATGCATTTGAGTGCATTTTTAAGAAGCAGTGTTTTTGGATACATGCCATAAAAAGGCCAAAACATCACTTTTATAAACAGTATTTTTTACTCTATTTCCCTTTTGGGTAAGCACTGACCGTGTGCTTCTATGCAATGCACGTGCATCAGAGATATAGAGAGAGGGGACGTATAGCGCCTGCACGGGAAAGTCATGTTACCATATCTGGGCTGAAAAGTGTGTTGTGCTGTTGACAGTTAATAAATCTCAGGCTGCAGCGTGACTATAAATGCTAAACATTCGCAGCAAGGTCAAGTGCTTCATTTCTCAAAGATGTATCCTTTTTGTCTCATGAAGGTTGCCATACATCACTCAAGGATAAATTGACTCTGCTCGCATGCTCACAGTTGCAAAACCTGAAAAATTCATGCTGATATCAGCCATCTCTGAATGTACCCAGGCTTCTTTAACGCAGCCCTGCATGCATGCAGAAAAAAAAGCATCAGGATGTGTCGACTGTGTTGGAGCAGACCGGAGATAACTTTGGCAGATTTCTCCGACTGGATGTTTCCAACTTGTTCAGTTTAATTCAGCGTTTCTTCCTCAAACTGAACCTCATTCTGTGTGAGTGCACATTCCCTCGGCCTTCTGAGGGGCCTGTCTGCTGCAATCACCATCTGTCTCAGTCAAGCCAGGAAGTGGGGCAAGCCCATGCTTGAACATCGTCGTCGCTAGGGGGATGGGGCCCTTCACCCATGAAAAGACCAGACGATCTGTCACAACAGCCAATCACTGCTCTGATCAAGAGCAGAGACAGAAGCCCGGTCTTAAGGAGAGCTGACCCCTCACGGGTTGCTTCTTCTAACGGGGGGTCAGATATCGACCGTTGACCAAGCAGTACGAGACATTTTCCTGCCCGTGCAGTTTATCCTGAGTGTGTCTTTGTTGGGCGTAATGATCTACGCTGTGAGCAGATTGTGTGTGTGTGTTTTTAATAAGCTCTGTGGGGGAAACTAGTCACAGCAGAATCTATGCTATCCTCGCATCACTGTACTTTGAAAAAAGAGGCTCGTTGTTACCTCCTGTTACACGTTTTAATGATATAGAAACGTCTTCCTTTTTGAACATAAAGAACAAAAAGGTCTGTCTCTGTCGGGGTTCCTTTCTGTAAAGTTGTCAGACACCTAAAAAATAAAAATCTGAGCCTGTCAGTGATGAGAACATGAACTTTTAAGGAGCCAGTGTGGCCTGTTTCACAGCTACAGTATGAAGCAATCTAATGGAGCAGTTTGAAACTTTTTGTACTCATAAGTCACTTAGACCCAGTGATTCTCAAAGTGGGGTCCCAGGACCCCCAGGGGATTGGGGGGTCCGCGGAATAATTTACAAACAATTGTAAATGAATTGAAAAAAGCATATCTACAAACTGGGACCTCTTGCACCAATATAATCAACTATTTTGTCCAATACTCCCGCCCACTTTAGTTTTGTACCATTAGATCAATTCTGATGATCGTGACATGAATAAAGGATTATCAACATTTTCTTAACGTTTATAAAAATGAATTACTTGTTACTACTAGTATACTAGTATTACTAGTATAAATGTAGCCTAATTTTATCATTGCAAAGTACTACATAGTACATTATTACCGGAGGTGTCAAGTAACTAAGTACAAATACTTTGTTACCTTACTTAAGTAGAAAGTTTGGGTATCTATACTTTACTGGAGTAATTATTTTTCAGCCCACTTTTTACTTCTACTTCTTACATTTTCACGCAATTATCTGTACTTTCTACTCCTTACATTTTAAAAAACAGCCTTGTTACCCCTATTTCATTCCGGCTTGTCATCGTTCAAAAACACACAAAAAAACAAAAACCTATCCAGATAAATCGCGCCATCCGGATAGAGTGAATTTGACCATACAAGAGTAATTGTTACTGAGCCTGCCCTGGGGTACACCAATTTTCTTGTCCAGTTTTGTTTTCTTACACCCGTTGCCCTCACAGATTCCTGCAGCTAAGCTTGGATGTACATTTACATTCCAATAAAGGCTATTGATAACATGCCTCTGAAGTTTGACTTTTTGCACCATTACAATACTTATACGCAACTAGTCATCATATCTTCCGCTCCATGAAACACACGTTAATGCTCAATAGTACACATATATGGTTCTTTAATGTATTTGCATTGTACTAAAATGCGTTCATTTTCAGCTTTTGTCATTAATGGCATTTTTTCCCCCTTACATTACTTTTACTTTTATACTTTAAGTAGTTTTGAAACCAGTACTTTTACACTTTTACTTGTTGTTGATACTTCAACTTCGACAGAAGTCTTTTTAAACACTAGTATCTGTACTTCTACCTGATTAATGAATGTGAATACTTTTGACACCTCTGATTATTACATAGTATTAATAGCTTATCAACGATACGATAATGAGGGGGGTCCTTGGAAATATTTCTCACCTGAAAGGGGTCCATGGTCTAAAAAAGTTTGAGAACCCCTGACTTAGACCCCTCAAAAAAGTCAGCGGACAAAACAGTCTGGGTAAGGGTACTGATTAGACTCATGATCCTGAAATCTAAATAATGAAGTTCAGAGACTCACGTGGTCCATCAGCTCCTTCACCATGCCGTTCCACTGGCCCGTGTTCTCGTCCTGAGCGCCGTACCTCCCGTCCTCCACTAGGCGGACCTCGTACGTGAAGCCCAGGATGCTGGACAGCTCCCTCAGCAGGTCTATGCAGTAGCCCTCGAAGCGGTCGTTCCCGTACAGCGGCTTGTCTGACTTCTTGAACATCACGTACGGCTCCTCCTGTCAGGGGAGAGAAAAAGAGGGAGGAAGGGATGAGTCCCCTGCAGACCTTCACATCTCTTTACCTGCCGATAAGGGCCCTGTATCTGAGAGCCTGTCTGATGTGTGAGATAGACCTGACACACACTGGGCTCGGCACTGTGTGTGTGTTTGCCAGCAGTGCCAGTCCTGTGATGTGGGCTACAGGGTGGGTGCAAAGTGAGGCATGACCATAATAAGAGATAATCCCCCCCGTATCAATGACTCTGTGCTCCTCTCAGGCTTAGCGGTTCTGGCTTTGGGCCCGGGCCCAGCTTTCGGGACACCGCATGCTTTGTCAATAAGATAAGAGGTGCTGATAGACGGACACAAAGCGAGAGAGCGAGAGCCGGCACTGCAGCTCTGTTCACACAAAACAGTTGGGGAGATTACTAATGTCTTCTTTTATGCTGCTTCTTTTCCTCCCCTCCCGCCTACTGAACATGTCCTCCACCTCCTCGCTTCCTCCCTCCGCCCGCTCGCTTCCTCCCCTCTCTATACCTCGGCTCCACGCACCATCTGTCTCCGTTAGCCTGTAGACGCTCGTTCTCACCCCGCGTCCCTCATTCCTTACGACTCCCTTGTCTCTCTCAGACAAATAAATCCTGGAATATATCCTGTCAGACAGGTGTTGTTTATAGTATAACTGTGGCGATGACTGAAAAAAAAAAAATCATTAAAGATTGCTAACAGCTTTGACACATTCCACTGGCTGGAGTTTTTAGCAGCATGCGGGCGTGTAAGACGTGTGCGCGGGGGGGCAAAAAACAAACAGTTTGTTCTTTTCACCGGTAGTGTCAGCCAAACAAACAGACTGCTTTCACAGTTTAGCATAAATATGCCGTACACAGACAGATGTTGAGGATAACGCTTTCACTGCAGCTCCGTGAGGACACAATGTACCATTCTGCTGCAAAAATATCTAAAACAGATTCATTTATTTATTTATTTAAGTTTTGTGTTGCAGATCTGAAATTATGTCTGGGAAAACATTTCTGCAGGTGCAAAGTCCAGGCATACTTAAAGAGGACATATTCTCCCCCCTCCTCCACCTGTTCAAACAGTCCCCTCCTCCACCTTTTCAAACAGTCCCCTCCTCCACCTTTTCAAACAGCCCCCCTGTGGTCTAAATGAAACATCTGTGCTGTGCTTTGGTCAAAATATAACATGAATCAAGCACCAGAGGAGGTTTGTGACCCTGTATAAACCAGCTCTCTCAGAACGCTCTGTTTTGGTGTGTATGTCTCTTTAAATGTAATGACCCCCCCCCCCCCCACACCTGAGTTTTCCCAGTAGACATCACTCCTCTGTAGTGAGAATAAAAATGGTGGACCTGTGTAAAAGTTTTGTTCTAGTCTGGGGGTGGAGTCCATGGGTGGAGATACCAGGGGAGGGGAGGTTTTTTTTTTTTTTTTTTTTTTTTACCAGAATCCCACTGTGACATCACAAGGAGAGCACATTTGAAACAGAGCATTTTTCTCTGTGTTGTAAGACTTATGCAGACCACAAACAAAGGACTGGATGGGTTTATTTCACATTTTGTGGGTCAGTAGACTCTCAGGTTACACAGATATATGTTCAGAAACACTGTACAAGTGGATTTTTCACAATATGTCCCCTTTAAGTGATTTTTAGTTTAGAATACAGAATTTAATCTTCGTGGGTATTGACTCAAAGACAACATGAATCATGTTTTACACCAGAGAAAGCCACAGGTACACGTATATGTTTTAAGATCTATCGTGTTCATTTATCCAAATGTATAAATCCATGAAATTATTGTACCTTGTGAAAATAAGAGTTAAGACAATTATATTTTCACAAGAAGAACAACATTAATATTAAGGCTAGTTTCAAAAATATAGATTCATCAATGCATTGCAATTATTTTATTCCCAATTCAATATCGATTCAGGGAAATCCTGAGATCGATTTTTTACATTGTAATGACGCCCCTCTCCACTGGGGGCACTGTGGGTGTCACCATACTTCTGCATACTTTAATGTTTTATTCTTTGTTTATTAAAGAATAATGCAATGATAAAATACATTTTTTAAGTCAGTTTGTTCTAAACCTATACAAACAATGCACATATCATTATTTAACAAATGTCAGATGGTGTGATGAGTCATCTGGGTATTTTTAATATCAAAGCATGTTGATCAATATTGAATCAAATCACGACCCAAAGAATTTAAATGGAATTGAACTGTGAGGTTGTGGACAAAACCCGGCTCTAATTAATATATTTGACTTCATCAACCTGCAACAACTTTCCATTTTTAACCCCTTCAGCACCAACAACTGTTAGACGATCAACTTAACAGAAGTTCATAATTTCTGTGAGATCTGCAAAATCCCGAAAACCTTTATGAGAACGTCTTCACACTTCTGTAAAAGCAGCAGATCTGAAAGTGTAATAACCGCCTCACTGTAACCCCTCTATCTGTTCTATAATTGCTGACTCAGCTCATTTGTATCTAGCCGTAGGTCATATGCAGTATGATGGTTTCCTTTTTACCTCTGTAGCTACATGGCTGAAAGGATACTGATGTAATCGTGATGAAAAAGCAGAAAACTGTTTCCACACACGGATCGATACCAGAGCGGCTGCAGTGTCAAGACACACAGGACAAACACTGGAACACACGAGAGTTTGTTTGAGTGGATGTAGATGAGAGATGTAACCTGTAATCTCTCAACAGAAATCATGTGACTGAGTGAAGGCTTTTTGTGCCTTTATTTAGAGACATGACGGTGGATAGAGTCAGAAACCAGAGAGAGAGAGAGAGAGAGAGGGTGGGGAAAGTGGTAAAGGAGCCACAGGTCGGATTCAAACCGGGCTGTCAGCTCTTAAGGACTAAAGCCTCGTTTCCACCAAGTGGTCAGGTTTGGTTTGATACAGTTTGGATCAGTAAACACTGATCTTACTTGCGTTTCCACAGCCAACCTTACCCTTAAACATCACTAAATCACAGCGCAACATAGTGGAGACCGCCAACAAATTCACCAAAGAAGAAGAACGCGAGATTCTTGGGAAGGTCTGCATCTCCGAGGCATAAAACAAAAACTGCCTTGAAAAGACTCTCTCCAAATCCATGGGACATTTAAACATGGATCCTTTTGTGTTTCTCTTTTACTACAGGAAGTGAATATTCTTTTGGCCAATCAACGGACTGCAGTGCTTCTAGCTCCAGCCTTCATTGTCGGATTGACGGTGGAAACAAGTCACATACCTGAACAACCCCGAGTGTGACGTCACAGGTAAAAAGGATATTAGAAAAAATAATTAAATCTGAAAAACACAAAACACTCAGCTGGCAGGTCAGCTTAATGACCCCCGGCACACAGATGTGACAGCAGTGTATGACAACACCTTACTCCTACTCATTCATTATACCATCTAACAATCCAAGGAGGGACGAGTGTTTCCCTTACTGCCATCGCCATGGTAACTGAAACCACTGCTGTTTGGATGGTGATGGCATGCTGGTTTGAATCCTTACAGGTAGTTCTCTCAGGACTTTGTGCAGGAGGACAGCATTTATAAATACTGTTGATATAAAAGTGTAAATGAGGATTTTTAAGGATCTTTATTTTTGTCCCTTAATGGGTTTATTAAAGTCGTTTGAGTGGAATGGAACGAGCACACTCTCTTACACTTCCTCACCAGAGCGGACTCATAAAACGAGGCACCTTTTGCTCAGAGCTCTTAAACGAGGATGATTTCCATTTAGTGTTTTATTAACGGGGTTGTTTTCTTTTAACTACAGCGGCCTTTACATGGAAATATTCCACTGATTCTTCTTACAAAGCTCTTTTGCATGACATCATGTTTTTATTTGCATTTTTACACTTTTTGATGTTGACAAGTGTTACGCCTCCGATGATTTGGACGCTGCTGTCGACTATGCGATGTAGCAGCTCCCTCTTCCTTATGCAGCTGTATTTGATTTGCAACCGTAAACATATGTCAACGACAAGACATGCCCTGTTACAACTATATAAATCACAGATTTCTCTGGCTTTGATAACTGTGGGAAATATTTGCGGTAATGTAAAATATATACTTTTTACTTTTTAATTAATTTAAATATTTTTGTTAAATTCTACATATTGTACGTTTAGCAAGTGAACCTTTGCATGCAGCTTTTTGTAATTCAGGCCTAATTTTGTGCTTTTTTATTTCTCGCAATAGAGTCGTCCCGCTTGGTTTGCCCGGAGCTCCAACGACAGACTCATGAGTCGTCACTGCATGTTCATTGACAGAGTGATGTCACCGTGTTTAACAAACATGAAAAGGTGTAAACTGACAATGGATCGTCAACAGGCAGGGCAGTCAACGGTTTGGGGCCCCGGACCAGAAGGGGGCCCTAAAGCAGCAACCTTAAAATGTTTATACTTTGCAATGACGGTAGAAAACCTCGCTAAGTGGTTCCCATCTGACAGCAATCACTCTTGTTGCCATGCTGAATGCTGATTGGAGCTACATCTAGAATCGCCACTGGGGATCGGCCCCAAACTTTGTAGTAACGGCTACATCCAAACACATAATGAGAATTTTATGTAAAGAGGCGAAGATATTACTGAACATCTTGACTTTTAAATTCCTCCTCAGCTCCTTTGAATCATCATGTCATTCATCCCCCGTTCTCTCCCTCGCTGTATTTGCGGCCATGTTAACGAGTGGACCAAACTGTTATCTCGCATGTCGAGCACAAAGACGCCGTTGTGAGCCCATTAGCAGCGTGCGACCTTTCACCTTCTGTCAGCTGTGAAAGACTGTAATTATCATAAACAGTCGCCGGGCTCATTAACAGTGAGCTTCTCTCGCTGGAACAGTCTGCACTACCTGTGAGTCCTACTGGACAGAAAGAGCTCTTACCTTTACCTTTAACCGTGCAACTGGAAAACGGTGAGGAGAACGGTTTTATTCTCTTTATAGATCGTAAGCCAGAACATCTGAGGAACCTCTCCCTTC